AGCTATATAATTAATAGGTAATGGGATTTCATGCTCCCCAATCAAGAAATAATTAGACTCAAAAAATTCCTCTGACTGCCAAATTGGACTCGGCCTATGGTCTCATCCAATTTTGTCAGTCCTCTGAATTTTCCTCGTCCAATTGCATGGAGTCCTATTACATATACTAATAATAACAATTTATTGAAGCATAACTACAGAGTAGCTCTACATCTTCAATGAAGAAAATAATAAATTGAAAATATAGTGAAGTAATCATTAATTAGCATATAGTGAAGAAATTATCCATATCCCCCTCCCCCTCCCCCAGAGAGAGCATTTTTTATACCCCCCCCCCCCCCTCACCCTTACCCCAGAAATTCCACGTTACTTTCATACGAACTCTGTAATTTTGTTCTTTTTCTGACCTCCCCACCCCTTGGAAATTCCAAATTCCTCTGAGTGAGGGGGGGGGGGGTGGATAAGTGGATAATTATTTTTTGGAACTACACAATCATATAAAAGTTGAAATCTTGCCTAACTGTACCTTTGAAACAAATTCTGGATTACTAAGGGGTCTTCTGGAAGGAGTTGTCTCTTCTGAACTTAGTCTGTGGAACGAAATTGCTACACTTAACAAGGAATTTTAAAGATTTTTAATTATTTTCGTAATCTAGTATACTTGGTGTGAATTAAGAAATCCCTCCTCCTCCTTGATAACCACTGCAACTTATGGCTTAGTTTTTATCTATGGTATATGAAATATTCACTTAGACATTAACTCCTTTATTTGTTAATTCATTTATAAATTGAATTTAATGACTTATAGTACACTCAACAAAATTACTCGACTCTGATTGGTCGAGAGGAGTACAATTATAGCCTTAATTGTACTCCGTAGGAGTACCGAATTAAGTCGCTATGGCAACACAGCCAAAATAATGCCAAAACAATTATTTTCTATCATTTTTGTACTTAAAAAACATAAGAATAAAATTTTAAAGGTGTGAGAACTAATCTTTTTTATGCATTTCAGTTGCGCGATGGACTGAAAATCTGCCGCCAAATAGACAAAGATGAACGGCGTCGCTTCGCATTATTTACTGAAATTTTGTTGAGTGAACTATAAACAAAAAATCGCACAATTATATAGTCAATGTCATTAACGTTGCCCACCGAAAAAAGGCTTTTCACATTTACACATTTAGACTAAAAGATATATCATGTGTTTCATTATGTATTCTTTGTGTGCGTTAGCCTGAACTTCTAATGTAAAATTCAGCTTGTGAATCGAAAATCCAGAATACCCTGACCATTTAGAGAGGATTTAAGATGGAGAATGGTATTTCAGCATTTGTTTTATGCCAGAACCTTCAAGGAAACACATGACATTTCTTTTAGTCTAAATGTCTAAATGTGTAAATGTCTTTTTTTGGTGGACAACGTTAATGACATTGACTGTATGTAATTCATTCCTTCAATCATTCACTCAATACAATACTGCAATCATTTATTCATTTGCTTGTCCATATAGTTATTCAATCATTCATATTTTCATTCATTCCATCATTTATTTATTACAGAGTTTGTACTGAGGTAACCACTTAAAATTCAAGGACTATTCAAGTAGTATGCAAGGACCCAAATATGAATTTTCAAGGAGTATGTTCAGCTAACTATGCCAAGGTTTTACATGGTGGTTGCACATGGCCGACTTTCAGAATTTCCAATCTTTCTGACTAGATCTATTTCAGAACCATGCAAGTAATGATCAAAGCAAAAATTCAAGGAGTTTTCAAGGAGTTTCGCTAAAATTGTAAAATTCAAGAGATTTTCAAGTGCCCTTGAAAACGTGAATTAAATTCAAGGAGTTTAAGGAGTGGCACGAATCCTTTTATTAAGTTAACTAATCATTCATTAATATTTAATTATTTCATAATTTATTCATTCAGTCCTTCATTTACTCATTCTATAAATCAGTCATTCATTTATTCAATCATCCATTTATTTTCATTACTCTTCCAATCATTCATTCATTCAATCGATAAGACACTCATTTATTCCAGGACACATTCATTCCTTCATTCATTTAATATATGATTTATTCAATGTGCAGTTCCAGTTATCATCCATTCCCCTCCCCCTCCCACAGAGGAATTTGAAAATTCCAAGGGGTAGTGGGGGGGCAGGGTCAGAGAAAGAACAAAATTACAGAGTTTGTATGGAAGAAAATTGAAATTCCCGGGAGTAACAGGGCCTGAAAAAAATGCCTCCATGGGGGAGGGGGGTGGGGGGCAGGGGGGTATGGATAATTTCTGGCACTACACAATAACACTAGGGGGGGGGATCTTAACTTACTTTATTAGTAGGTTTGAAAGTCTAGTACATTCTTGTGCGTCATAAAACCATATTCCAAAAATACCATCTAAGTGAGAGAAAAAAAATGAAATTAAGTTGTAAAATTCTTGCTGTAAAATGTTCAAGATTGAGGAGGTCATTTGTAAGAGCACTATCTTTTTATGAAGTATTTTTTTAGTGCCTATCACACTTCTGACAATATTGTCAGTATTGATTCTACATGGGGTAACATGTTGAATAACCTGAAAAAATTACATAGTTTGAGTGCAGCTTCTTGAAGTTATAAAGGTTTTTCCATGCCATTGTTCCCATTGATTGGGCTTCCTGTGTTAACTCTCGTAAGCGACCATCTCCCATAAGCAACCACTTTCTCCTGGCCCTGAGGTGGTCGCTTACCGGAGAGTCAACTGTAGAAGGATACATGTATACAGCAAGGTTCAGACCAATCTAGTCCTTAGAAGTTGCTACTACAAAGTTTTTCCAGCTTAAATTTGTGTATTTTACTTACTTTTTTTGTTTTTAAACAGAAGAAAAGGATCCTGTTGCTTGAATTCCATATCACAAGTAACTGGTTCATTAATATTGTTCATATTTAATCGGTTCATGATAAAAAATGAATGCTTGGGATGACTGGACCTGAAAACATTAATACAAATATTATCAAACTCATTAATAATTCATGAGGAAAACACAACAGAAATCACGACCGTGAAGAGTCTTGTAAATCTGATACAAAACTGTGTTCATTTGCATAAACTTTAAGTTGGATTTTCTTGGCCAGATTCACTTTAATTTTGAAAATTTTAGTGAAACACAAAGGAACTAACCTAGACGTTTGATAAGCAATATACGGTATTCATGTCAGTGTTGTATCAGATATACAAACTCTCGCCTACGCCTCAACTTCGTAAATCTGATACAACACGGCCACTCATACTGTATATATTACTAATAAATATGTTAACAAATAAATATGTTAATTATATATAATATATATTGCATGAGAAAAATAATTGGGGTCGGTAGGTCAGATTTTTTTTACTGACACAACCGTGGAAATGAGTCTACTGGGAACCCTGTGGTGCATTTGGGAATGAAAAAATATTAGGGTCGGCAAAAATTGGCAAGAAAATTAGGGTCAGTCGCGCAACAGCAAACACACTTATTTTTTTGTTTGGCCTAAAATATGTTAACAGAAATGAAGCAGTAGCAACCTTAACCTTTACACCTCAATGGGAAACAAAGCATTACAGCCTTGAAGAGAATGATTCACATCATGCCTAGATTTGAATGTGTTCCAATTTCTCTGCTGACATGACAGAGCATTAAATAACGGTTGGTCATTGGACAATGTCCGACCAAACTTGGAAATTGTCTAGTTAACTCTTTGCCATTCTGGTAATTTTGACCATTAACAAGGCATAACAAGCTCCCTTTTCTGATAAACCTCTTGTTATGTCACATTAATATGATAAATGAAGTATATAATAGTCTAATGTAATTACCTAATATAGACAAATAGTGCACCTTCTACATCAGTTTTATCCTGCAACAAAACAGCAAAGATATTCAAAAATGATAGGCCTTTATTTCATTTATCCTGACAATCAAAGATTCACGAACCCTATCATGTCAAGGGGACTCCAACCAAGAACATAACTTCCAACTTCATTCCTTAGTTATACGTTAATCAGGTACTGTACCAGGAGACCAACCCATGTGGACCCACTAAAAACCACATAGTGCAGTCTTATTTATAACTATACTCATCTAGTCCTGGTTTTACGAATCCTGGACAGCGCTATCCAGAGGATAAATCTTTAACCAGTGGATAAGTTGATGCTGTTATCCAATGTCCACTGGATAAGATTTATCTGTTGGATAGCCCTATCCAGGCTTCGTACAACCAGGCCCTAATGTCCATAAAAAGTGTTTACTACTTTCCAGCCAATACACACACACGCATGTACAGATTGCATCTTTCTAGTTTCCCCTTATATCCACAGGTTTAGTAAAACGTTTTGGGGATGTAACAATTGCCCCTCCCCCCCTCCTATCCCACTACACCACTGAAAGGAGTCACAGAATGTTTTCCAAGGGTTACAAAGGGCTTAAAAACAATTGTTTTCTTAATATTTTCCCCATAAAAATATTCTAATGCCATTATGATGAATGCCGACTGCAAATTACATAGTTACATACATAGTACATACATATACTTTATTTAAAATCATAAACAAATTATAATTGACATTGAATATTTATAACTAATTAATATATTTACAGATGCATGCTATTTAATAGCCATAACCGCTAAACTAGCTAGGTAGCTGAATTAATGTTATTTCTAATAAGGATATTGGCACACAAAAGGTCATGAATACAATGAGAAAGAAAAGATAATGAAGTAAAGAAACACTAAGAAAATACTATACAAACATTACAGATCCACTCCAAAGTCTGTCACATTATGTAAGGATATGCAAAAGCCATGCCTCAACTCTCCTGCATAACATTTAGGGTGACACACATGTACATGGTATAGTATTGATATCTTTGCCTGTCATCTGTTTTGCTGATTTGATTCTTGCACTGTTTTTAATATATTGTCGGCTTTCGACATGGAACTAAGGCACTTCAATGGCTCGTTTTGAAACAATTTTTTTTACTGTTTTATGCCAGTCAAGGACATTAGAGGTACCGAATGGTTATTTTTGATTGGCGACAAGAATTAAACAACCAAATTTCAGAGTGCAGCTTGCAACTACCAAGTTTGCAAAATATCAAAAACTGGGGAATGCAAAGAGAATTTTTCTCTGAGTCTTTCACTTTTCTTCCCTCTGCAAATACCAACATGTGAGTTGAGTTGTGTGCTGTCAAATGTTTACACATTTAAACATTAGCCACTGATAGTGAGTGAGACATGACATCAAATGTTTACACATATAAACATTAGCCACTACAATAGCTAGTGAGTGAGACATCACCTCAAGTCCTCTAATCAACAAAATCAAATAAATATTCATATATTTTATTTAAATAAAGTGATTTTAAGGTGATGATAAATATGAGGAACTGCTGGAATTAAATYGTAGTGGGAGAAAAATTAGACAAACAAATCCTTCCTGCTAGCTATAGGACTTGAACAACAACATCAATAACTCAATGAGGTATTTCTAGGAGTTATTTTGTTAAGTCATTTCGCAACTGGACAATATTTGAATTTATCATATTACAGTTTTATGTGAAAAGAAAATCACATTCGAAACGAGCTGAAATCTTGACCAGGAAGTTAATTAATTCAAGGCATATATGTTGAAAAACAATTGTTGAATAACTACATTATGAATAGAAAAAACCAGGTTGTTGTCGTTCATTTCTCCCAGAACAAGCTTTTCATTGCAATATTGCGTAGAGAACATAATATAAACATAGTGTTTGCATTATTTAAGAGGTGATGAAAATCTTATTTTGTATTTTATAATCATTTCACTGATTGATAAGCAATTAATAGCTAAACAATTGGGGTTAAATAAGAATTCATCTGCAAATCGTCTTTTTCTGTAACAAAGCAATTATGCACTGAAAATATTTCCTCTTACAGAGTTCTTATTTTGTTGAAAACTGCCTAACATCGCACAACGACTAGCTACATGTAGCTCCTTTTGTCAAACAACAACCATCGTCAATTTATCCACAATAATTTGTTGTTTAAATTCACTTACCCACGCTTGCGTTTCTGATTTAAACTTGTATAAAGCGACTTGCGAAGCAGTATCTATAATATTTACAACGAACTGATCAGATTTTTTGATAGCATTGAGGTTTAATTTGAGTTCTAGTTCTGATGGCCAATACACGCTGCCGCCAGCCGCCATCTTGAATATTAGATCTTGCCTTATGATCAACCGCTGCCCAAAATAAAAGTATTTTGAAACCTACGCACTGCGTCGATGAGTGCGCACTAAAAATCGGAACTGCATTGATTGCCCCCGTTTTTTTCTCTCAGAAGTTTGGCTTTAAAACTTGGAATGCACTGAAGAAGGAGGGAACATCGAATTTATATTTTGTAAGGGGAGAATATTTTTTCAAAGCCATCTCTTCCCCCTCCACTCCCCCTAGCCTCCTGCGCAGTCGGTGTGAGGCGCTTCCGGTAAAGAAGGAGAAAGGCTTTTATTTCCTGAAAATAAATGTCGTAATAAAGCAAATTAATAGTAAATTTGCCGTTTTTCAATGACATGGAGAATGCACTCAAGGGACTCTAGGGCGTTCCATTATGGAAGCAAAAACGATACTCTTCACCTCGAAAGCATTAAGAGCCATTGTCAAAAGGATGCTTAATTTCTTTCGTCTTTTGCTTAGTACCATATTAGTAGCTACTTTTCAAAATTTCATTAGTTCCAGTTCTGGTCATTTTTTTAAATTAGTTTTTGGAGATTTTCAGAATCTTGAACTTTCTTAGCTACTCAAAGCTACGAAAATTAAGGAAAGTAAGGATTTTTACTGAAAAGGCGGGAAAGGCCGGCGGTCGCGCCTGCGTACTGATAGTGTGTTTAGCTCGGCTTTTTGTGTTTCGTGCATGTTGTTTGGCTTCCAGCTGAATTTTTTCAGTTAGAATCTTGTTCACGCATTTAAAACTACATGAAGAACAATTAAACCCTTGATCTTGTTGTCAAAATGAACTTAAATTCATTTAAAGTCTTGAGAGCAATCGTCGTTATGGTCTTTTTGTGCGAAGGAATGGAAGGAACCCGAAAAAGTGGAAAATCTTCGCTGATCTTCAAGGATGATCAATTTTGTATTCGCCCAAATTTGAAAAATGGTCGTTTTTCGATCCACCGAGGTACCATGAAAAAAACAACAACACAGAACAGATACAAAACAAGGTAACGAGTAGCTTCAATCTTATCTTATTATTCATTCAGAATGATTGCCGAGCGACTAATTATTCAGTTAAGCATGAGAGTCTGAAAAGCCTCTGTTATAATGGCGTAGACTTGGTTTAGTTTTAAGGAATAAAGTTTAGTAATCTCATTTCTTTCGATTATAAATATTTAAGACTGAAGCAGTACTAGTATTGACCAAAGAAGATACTTCACTTTACTTTACTTTACTTTATTTCAAAATTTCAATTTCACAAGTCACTTTACTGCAGTATATCTGGTTATATATTACTGGATTCAGATGCGGGGGTGACTCAGTACTACTGCTGAAATTGAAAGTACAGCTTAATAAGACTTAACTAATTCACAATACTATTATGATTTGAGGGGGAGTTGGGAGTTATGCTCTTTTAGATATTTCCGGCCGTATAAGATGCTTTCAATTTAACTCCATTCAGTCTGTGGGGAGCGGAAAGAACGAGCGGACACTAAAAACATCTGCTCGGCAGGCTACATTCATGTTGGCGTTTTACAATTCCGGATCCTCCCCGATATTCCTGATGTATCCCAGGCTGTGCGCGGGGAAGTGATTTAGACCTTCCATATCACTGTATAAGAAAGCAACTGAATGCCAGTATCATATAAATAAGAACAAAGCTCTTCCTGAAAGATAACATAAAGGGAAAGAGTAACTGCTTGAAATAGTTTTCCTTCCTTCCCTCCATTCGATCATCCACTCATTCATTCCTTCCTCTCTCCCTGGCTCCCTCCTCCTCCCGCCTCCCTCCCCCCTCCCCCCTCCTCCCTCCCTCCTTCCGTCCATCCGTCTGTGCTGTCATCACAAACTAAAGCATAACAGTATTTTCTTTGTCAGTTGGCTATATTACATTCTGTTATCCTCAGTTCTTATGACTGTGTAAGAAAATCAGGGCCTATATATGTTAGGTCATGTACGAATAATTGCTTAATACGTGAAGTTTGAAGTCTGAAAGGCGGAAGTGGAACTAAGCTTCCTTTCCCCTCTCATCAACGAAATATAACACCTCCACAACTTGGCCCAATATATGCGTGCAACTCCCCCGCCAGTGACCAACCAGGAGCCATAGTTATTGACATTACCAATTATCGTAGGAAGCAATGAATATACATATTCTGACTAATTGTATTACATACGATGTGTTACTGAAGTTGATTAACGGGAATGAATGATAGAAAGCTTCCTTTCCTCCAGTGCATCCACTCATAAATATCGGCTGAAACACTCAACTTAAGATAAAAGGATTTCTTAATCAGGCTGTGCTGACGCCCCTTACTGCGCCCAAAGGGGTTAACTGATAACTTCTGGAGACCTTCAGGGGTATGCTTCTCTTAAACGTTTTCCACGCAACACTTTAAACAACACCACATAAAACTATATATCGTCTTAAAGGTCATATGATAAATGTTTCGAATATAATATTATTTGAAAGCGATTTTCTAATTTGAAACAATGCAGAGCCTTAAACACAAATCGGGTACGTTCCGTAGAGGTGAATTTATGGAGGTAGAGTTAGTGCGTGTAGCCAAAAGAAGCTCACTATATGAATAAGCAAAAGATAATTTACAAAAAAGGGTGCGAGCGATTTTTGAGTATTTTTCTTTTCTTTTATGCGGTAGAACATCGACCGACATTGAAATTTTTCGAGGTTCCAACTTCAAAATTCAATAACTTTTTAAAGAAGCAAAATAACAAAAATCGCTCATGCCCTTTTGTAGTTTATCTTTTGCTTATTCACATAGTGAAATTCTTTTGGGTATACGCGCTAACTCCATGTCCATTAATTCACCTTTACTGAAAGTGCCCGATTTGTGTTTAAGGCTCTGGCATTGTTTCAAATGAAAAAATCGCTTTCGAATAATATTATTTTTGAAATTTTTATCATATGACCTTTAAAACGATATATAGTTTTATGTGGTTTTGTCAATATTGATTCCACTTTCGTCGGTCATCTCCACTTCCAAACAAGTTAATTTTTCTGAATAACAAGATTTTAGCCTTGTACAACGCCTTTTTTCAAGAAAATAGTTTTTGGCGCTCACTGCTTGAATACGCAAAGAATTCTCTCTTAAAGTGTTGCGTAGAAAAAGCCCTTAAGAGAAAAATACCCCTGAAGGTCTCCAGTAACCTTAAATGACTTCTCGTTATAAATAAATGAACACTCCAAAAGTTAATACAAATCTATTACTTACTCGCTTCGTAATTTAAGAATAAGTAGTGTAATGGTAAATGTATGTAATTTTACAGCATTTAGATAATCCGATTAGTTATAAAGTTTTTTTAACAGCCTGAGAATGATCTGCCCCCGATCGGCCTCAAAATGACCACGACTTTTAGCACAGGCAACCCAAGCTCTGTTCTAGAGTTTTACTTCTTGAGAGAATTTTGGAAATTTCGACCGTATTTGATGTTAAAAATTTTGAATAAAATCTACTAACCTTAGTTGACGTTTTTATTTGTTTGCTCATTATCCCTGTGATCAATTTTCAGGCTATTTTGAGGGTATGTCGGGGGGAAAATACTCATGGCGTATGTAACAACCAATATAGATCAAGAGGTCAACTAAGGTTAGTATTTTTTATTCTTATTTTTAAAAATATAATCCCCATAAATTCTCCATATAAAAGTGCAGCTCTAGAACAGAGCATGGGCTGCCTGTGGTTTTATATCCCGTTGAGCGCGCCTTCGAAAGGCTGAAGATGATATCTTGTAAGTAATATATTCAAAAAATATAGCTCTCAGGAGAATGAGAAGAGTCGTGGTAAAGCCCGTGCAATCAGGCTCCTGAAGTTTAATAATGTTAATAAGACAAACAATGACCCGTGCATGGTGTAGGCGGTAGGCGTAAGCTCTTTTCTGTTGTTATTATTCCAAAACCCCACTACAGATTGGTTCAGGGCATTTGGATACTTCATCCCATTTCTCTCTAGTCTTTTAAGAGTTGGATTTCCGGTTTTCGTAAAGCGTTTTGTAAAAAAAAGCTATTCCTACAGACACTACATGATTGTCATGTTAATTGACGTTCTATTTTCAGTTCTGGTAGCTTGTTATCAAGATCAAGAACACAAAAAAACCACCCCGGCTTAATAATCAGGGGTGACCCTGTAGTCAAAAGATTGAACAAAAAACTGTTAAACATCAACTAAACTGTGAGTATCCAGGCCTTGTCGTTAACAAATAAGCGCACACTGATCGATTGGCCCGACTCGATTGCCAAGTCTGCCAAAGAAAGATCACAACTTTCATGAAAAAAATCTTTGAAAATGCCACAGGGTTCATAACACTTACTGATATTAACTATTTCGCTCAATTGTGCGCTGGTAAAATTCATATCCATTAAGAAACTCTGGTCCAGACAAACATTGTTTTTAACTAAAGAAGGAGAGGTTGGTTTTTACGTTGAGCTGCCGTATACAAAGCAGCAGGTCTTAGATAGTCTCAAGATGAATCGAGTAATGGCGGGCTTTTTAGCCTACCAAAATCCAATATTCAAAACCAATGAGATCAAAACGATACACCTAAACTTTGGTCTCTTTTTTTGGATTAATTAACCCCAATCTTCCGTTCTATAGCGATACGTGTCCAACTATTCGATTCAAGCTCGGATCTCCTTATATCCGTAGAGTTAAAGAGTGTTTAAAAACAAATCGATTTTTTTCTTAATTCTTGAAATAATGGTTAATTTATTTTTTGAGAAAGTCTTAAACAAAGCAAAAGCTTTTAAGTAAATTACCATGACCATTTAACAAAATGAAGCTGTTGCCCGAAAGTGTGATCATAATTAACACATGAAGACGAAATGGCGATTTAAAAAATGTTTGGTGTGAAATTTTTAAGTTACCAATTCAGTTCCCATTCGTGAAGCTACCGATGATGGTCAACGCACTGCCTTCGAAAATTCCCTCTCATGACGCGCTTTTTCAGTTCACCAAAAGAAGAGCTTAGTTTACTCAGGAAGAACTCTTCAATCCAAACGTTTAGGCGGTCACGTGTTATAACTCCATCGCGAAGAAAACCCACGCATCCATCAAACTGAAATTCCCGACTCCCACGCCTAGCAGGCAAAAGATTTCCTTGTCCTGAGCTACAGAGCTATCGAGATTATCGCATCTTACGCTGATCTCTTGCCTTTTTAGCCTTGGAAGATTTGCAAAAGCCGATGGAACGATTTCTTTCAATTTATTCAGATATCTTATACGCAAAGAGCATTAAGGTAAATGTTTTTTCATTGTGCGATATAATGAAGTCTGCTTCAAGTTAAGATTCATTTGCGCGCGCAGAAAGGAACAGTTGCTTGTTTTAAAAAATTGCGAAAATATAAAATAAGAAAGAAAGAAATAACTTGGCCGAGAAAAACAAAAATCAAAATCGTAAACGTGGAATACGAGAAAATCGTTCTCCTGGTGTTAGTACAGTTGCTTTGTAAGTAAAGCGCTCAGAAGCTAAATTATCGGGTTATTCTATTTTCACGACCGAGCAGCTCACAATTTCCAATCCATTAGGCCGCGATGAATAATTTAGCATAATACCAATCAAATAAAGAAAATCGAACTCATGAATCGAGCGCGATAAATCTTAAATAATTTTAATTTTCCCTTCAAAAAATATGTAATGAGAGATTATCATTACCATTCTTTATAATAAGGGCTGGTTGTATGATTGAAAATATTGTCTGCGCGGTTAAATGATGATGCGTTGGATATCTTTCCTTGCACTTGCAACGAATGCTAATCGTATTTTCCACGATTTATTTGTTTGCATAGGCTTGCTCGGTAACTAGTGGTCGGTGTATCGCATTGCCTAAGCAGTGATTTTATTTTCTACATACGACTCGTGCTCTTGTCATATCACCGTTACTTATACCAAGTTCCAGATAGAACAGAGTGCCAGAAAGCCCCAGTGGTCCTTCAAGCACCAATCCAAGAAATGCGGTTTCTTAATTGAGCATGACGTGACAAACTGAGAGTTCATTGTGAGAGGTTAAGGAGGCGTACACTTGTCCCGGTCGTCATAGAAACAATTGTTTTCTTTGCCAGATATATCCCGTTAATCGTTGATCACGCAAAACATAAAAAGCTTTCCATATATTAGATTTCCCGTATGTAAGTACCACGGGTCTGATCGGACAGAGGAATTTCTATAAACAATGAATTTATGATGTGATTTCGGGAAGTTATTGACATGGCGGTAGCGTAATGTCTGTAGAAACCAAATGTACATACTCTAAGGAACAAGCCAAATTGATCTGTCTAACATGGACCAAAACGGTCAGTCTTGATGCAAGTGAATTTGTTCTGGACAGTTTGTGTATCGATTAAACCCAAATGAACATTTCATTTTGAGAAGCATGCACCCTCTCTGTGGCGCTTATTTCAGCGCGATTTACGATGCGGCTAGTGTGTGCTGAAGAGTGGTTAACTGACTGCGACAACAGACCTTATATCTAACCGATCGATTTCCAATTTGTCAGGCTATACGAGAGAAAAGTCCTTGGCTACTATGAAGTCAACTTGGCCATCGTCTACAGACGCAGTGCTTATCTCACGAGCTAAGTTGAACGGCCAACCAAAATATGGCAAGCCAACTCAGCAGCCGAAAAGACCGAAGAAGCCACCGATTGCTGTTCGCCCAAAACGAGCTCTGCTTTGTTTAACTCTAGGAAATCCTATACGAAGTGCTGCCATCAGTCTTGTAGAATGGAAATATCCTTTTAGAAAAGCAGTTGTATTCGTTCTAAGGTTTTTCACGTTCGCTGTTTGTTTTGCTTTCAATCTTCTCAAAGTGAAGTGTTACTTTGCTATCGGGCGTTTCGTGTTATCTGTTGGGCAACATTCTACTTCTGTTAACCATTCAGTGACTTATTTCTAGCTCAATCATTAATTTTTGCCTTAACTTACTTCGTACGCCGTTCGATGTTATGATATTAATAACTATTTTTGCAAATTGTGCGGCACTAGCCGCTTACCAACCGCTTCCTGAACAAGACAGTAGTTCAGTCAACGAGGATTTGGTAAGTAGACGACTTTTATTGATAATTCAGTTAATATTTAAGGTATCATCTATCTCCTTTAACTTATTGCTTGGCTTTTGGTTATATTATATAGAGTTTGCGACCATAACAAACTAGCTTTCTGGGAAGCCGTATCCCTAGTGGTACGCTCTTCTCTGTTTCGATGGCAGACAAAAATACCAGCGCAATGTTTTGATAGCAAGTGGTATAATATGTATGTTGAAGGCTGCCCACAAACCCATGGACTTTTTGTGTAGACTTGCTAATCAGTATATACTCTTAATATGCGAATTATACGAATGAACCACTGCACGACTTGCTTTTACACTTATAGGTTTCTCATAACCAGTTTTGCTGTATCATTTATTTGTTCAGTTCTGTTTTACGACTTCAGTTTTTTTTGTTTTGTTTTGGTTATGATTATCGCTAAAGTTCATTCCAAAAGCCTTTTATTCAGAACTTCTGAGTACTTTGTTGTAAGGAGAAAACATTAGTATTAGATGTTGGTAACTTTAAGGTGTCGAAAGCTGTCTAGAGAGAGAGCTATTTAGATCGAGCTCTGACCATTTGTGCATTGCATTTGTACATTTGATGTGCGAATAATGGTTAATTTTTAATCGCTCAGAGTTTAGTCGAGGCTATGCACGATTTGCTGCTCATACTCGCGATCACTCATGGATGAACGAGTCATTCACTTAATGCTCAGGCTCGTCAAAAAACGGTTGTCGATTTGCATGCTTTATTCACACTTAATAAAGATTAATTTCGAACGGGGATTGACTCAATATTGTACAGAAAACGCGTCAACAGTGTACATTTGTTTTTGAACGTGTGTGAAACGTCGTTACCCCGGCAATTTTAAATTGCATATTTAAATCTCTCAAAATTTTATTCTGCTATCTCGTTTTATAGAAATAGTTAATTTTCCTTTTCGTGTAATGTAATTTTTCAGGCCCTTGCAAATAGGTTAACACAAAAGCCAGACTGTCATCACAAGTGCGTGTTTATATTGCTTGAAAACTGCTTCGAAAATACCCAAGCTTTTTAATATATATACGTGAAGACGTGAATGTATCTACAGATTCCCACAAACTGTTCAATATCTCGTCAAACGCAACCTCATTTCAGACCAACGTTCAAAGCTTTGAGATTGTTTTCTTAGTAATAACCTTCTAAACTCGTTAGATGTAAAGTGTTTAGCTATATAGAAACAAAGTCAGGTTTTTGTTTTCCTTATTTCTCTAAAAATAAAGTTATTCAAGAGGTCAAAATAAATCAAATATTCAAGAAAATGTATGATTAATTAAGGTAATGAAAACAAATGTTGTAAATAAAGTTTGTATCCATATTATAAAGGCAAGTAAAAAAAAATTAATGTGTGAAATAAGGATGAAAAAGATGAGCTCTTACATCTTAAAATTATTAACCAATGTTTACAGTAATGCACTAGTATTCTTTAGTAAATCTATCTTTGTATTAATCGCTAAAGTAATTTTTTTGGGAGCAGCCCTATCCTGTCTGTTACACCAATCTGTAATAACTGTCGTGTTGAATATTTCATGCTGTGGAGGAAAAAAGGATTCGTTGAATATTTAAAATAATGTTAAGGGACCTGAGAGTTGTCACGACTATTTCTACGTAAAAGCAATGATAATAAGTCTGTAAATCTCTCTTAGACTACTCTTCCTTTGTACAATGATTTTGTAAATCATTTAACAGCCCAGAAAGGAATCTAAAAGCTTTCAAATTGTCAAATTTTGGGATTTTAAATGCTTGATTTAATGTTTCTGGGGCAGATATAGTATGCTTCTCATAAGATCTAGCATTTATTAAGTCTTGATATATAAATACATATTCATATATAAGCCGAAAGTGCAAAATTATTTTTGAACAATATTCAAAACAGTTGCTCTTATTTCTTCATTTTGTTTAACAACCATGTTGTACATGACTTAGGTTATGCAATTTTCATTTATAATTTGATATATAGTTGCATTGCACTATGCTCATATTTTAGAAATCGTATGGAAAATTGCAGTCATGTTATTGCATATATGTGCAGGTCTTGTCGTAGGACTTGTGGTTAAGTCCTTAGTTGTTTGTGGTTTACATAAAGTAAATATTATTAATATGTAATGTATCTTGTTCTACGATATGAATACATTAACTAGATGATCACACTAGACATATAGCAAAAATGCATTTTTATTCTGAAATATATAATACCAAGAATGGAATTAATATCTTAATGTATTTCAATCAAGACTTGGATTGACAACTTAGGTTTAACAGTCAGAATATTGGGGTAATTTGTAGAGATAAGACCCGTTCCAGAGCCCAAATTGAAAAATAAATTCTTATATCCGTTTTGATTTCATTAAATCCAACTTAACTCAACTCAATTTTTTATTTATTCTGTTTTTAAAATTGATGTATCACAAATGAATTATATTATTGAATACATGTTACTAGCTATTAATATTGTAATACTATTATATTACTTTTAACTATGTTTTCAATTATATACGCCTAGAGCTTAAAGTAAACTGACAAGGGTGGATCCAGCCAAAATTTTAGGGGGGGTCTAACTGAGTTTAGGGGGGACTAATTGAGTTTCTTCCGTCAACGCAATGGAAAACAATATAAAAAAGCATCGTTTTTTATAAAATAATAAGTAATAATAATTAATAGACAAAATACTGCAAATTTAAACAGTGTATTAAGACAGTATGCTATTACTTGTGTTATTGGATCATTGCATGAGGTAATATTATTAGATATCAAGGCTGTAAGGCTGTGTTGATTCTGCCTGTCTCAACTTTATCTTGATTTTTTCTCATTATTCCATTTTCGTATAATAATTTTAGACTTTAACGTAGAGTTTCTCAAGCTGTGATTGGTTGTGCAGTGATTATGCGGTTTCCCAAAGTTTTCCAGATTGGAAGTAATACTAAAACGTTTTTTTATCTTGAATTTCGACTTTTCTCTGATATTCGAGTCTAAGATTATACTAAAACACTTATTCCCCTCAGGCTCAATGATTATGGTGAATATTTACCTAGCTGCTTGAAGACTTGATGTTTGGTAAATATTCCACCGATAAAGACTTCACCTTCTGCGAATAATAATCGTTAAATATTTTCACATAATATCCATATACTGGTAAATCGATCATTGCCTCTAACAAGCCCCCAACCCTAAGACACAGTGTGATTTTTCAGAAGATATTCATTAGACACTGAAATAAGAGAAGATTCTTATGGGGAATTCCCATCCTTGAAGATCTAAATAAGATTATACAATGATGTAGAGAGAATAAGAGAAAAATATCAAATGTCCTTGGCGGGAATCGAACCCACGTCTTCAGTATTCTAGTCCGATGTGTTAACCACTACACTACAAGGACCAACAATGCTGGTAACGCAGCCGGAATATGGTTAATACATGTAGTGTAACATTTGATAGAACATGTATTTATGTAATTGTACATTTTTACCTGAAGAGTGATCGATGGCTGCCATGACTATTTATAATCAGTTTAATATTTTAAAACAAAGGAAATTAAGGCACTCTGATGAAAATTCCATATTGTTTGTTCATTTCCTGATATCATCAATTACTGTCAAAGTAGTCAATATTATTTTCACTTCCAAGTCAATTTTTTACAATTTAACTAAATGATAATGTACCATTTGACATGTGACAACTCACCATCTGTTCATAAAATAATCTGAAATGTGTCTAGCTGTTACTATATTTAAGGAATATAACATAGGCATGTCTCTGTATTATGATATAAACAGTCTGGGAGCTGTAGAGTAAGAGAAAAACAAGCTAAACATCAGGGCGCGGTTGTACAAAGCCTGGATAGCACTATCTGGCAGATAAATTCTTATCCATTGGATAAAGTGATGCTGTTATCCAATGAATTTATCCACTGGATACAATTTATCCGTCAGATAGCGCTATCCAGGCTTCGTACAACCAGGCCGAGGTGTATCTATTGCTTTTCATCAGTGCTCTACAGCTAGCCATAGTGTAGTAGATGATAAAAAAATGATTCCTATTTTTTCTATTTACTTTACGACTTGTTTTTCAAATTTCTTTCGTAGTTTAGCAATCAATTATTCCAGGATACCAAACCACGGTCAGAGATAGAAAATACTGCCTCGCGCATGCTGCAGCCAATCATGACACGCAATTCTTAAATAATAGGAAAAAAAGCTTGTCAAATGATTGTAGCTCCCAGCTGTACTGTAAAAGTGTATAATGTCAATAATGGCTGGCACTATAAAATGTCATTTTGTCGAAATATAAGAGTAATCCACATGTTGCACCCATATTTTCATTGCACTTAGCTGATATATTAGTACAGTAAATGATGGAACGTTCCTCAATGGCCATAATTTTTACAAACGACTGCACATATTGTATATATATATGATATAATTGTGAAAATCATGGGCTCAAAATGAGTTAGAAATTGTGTATTATGACTTAGACAGTAATCAATAAAATGTTTTTCAACATATATTTTTCAATACCTTGATTTTCATTAATCAAAATATGCATTTAAGAAAGATAAAAATTTTTCGTGATAAATTTTTTTCATATGTTTTTTATGTATGTTAGTTAATCTTACATCGTGTAGTTCCAGAAATTATTATTCATACCCACCCCACAGAGGAATTTGGAATTTCCGAAGGGTAGGGGTGGGGGGGTCAAAGAAAGAACAAAAATGACAGAGTTTGTATGGAAGAAAATTTGAATTTCCTGGGTGGGGCCTTCCTCTTTGAGGGGGTTATATGGATAATTTATGGAACCACACATTGTTATTTTCCTCATTATTATTCAAGCCATGGTATTTATCCAGCTTACTAAACAAGGTCACAGTTAATGCCATTCTTAAAATACAATTAATTTTCTGTTTAAAATATGTAATCAAATAATAACTAATATTCTAATAATGTAGTACTGGTATTATTTTTTTGACAAAAATTTGGAAATGAACTTTGAATATTTTTGAAAAACCTCATTTTTCAATACATAATTTTATGTCAAAATTGTAGCTATTTTACACGTAAGATAGACAACTTGCACTGGGAACATGTAGTGCGCATGAGCAAATGTAACTCATCGTGGCGCCAAACGTTGTTTTGACGAGAGCGGCTGTCAAAATCATGGCAGTGTTGCTAAGTTACGCCAAGCAGGCACGACAAGTATAACATCCTACATCGGCAGAGTCTATTTTTCTCACTCCACCAAAAAACAAAAGGAAAATAGGCTCTCCTAGCAGGGAACTTAATAATATAAAGTTTTTTTCTTTTTTTTTTTTCCAGGAAGTAGCTGAATATGTATTTTTAGGAATTTTTACATTTGAAGCCATACTTAAGATCATAGCATATGGATTTGCTGCGCATCCTGGAGCATATCTTAGGAATGGATGGAATATTTTAGATTTTGTAATTGTTGTTGTAGGGTGAGTACATTTCAAACTGTTAATTGTTGATTTCAACTACAGGGTTGGAGGAGTGTGGTGGGTGGGGGGCTGGAAAGATTAGATGGCCATACAAGCGGTGAGCGGTGAACACAGAGCACAAAGCATGAGTGGACAAAATGACCGGCCCTAAGCATTTTTGGAGCTTGAATGATCAAAGCAAACATGGTGCTAAGTGAAATTGTTTTTATTCTTTCTTTTCATATTTCAGCTTCTCGTAGGCACTATATAATGCGTTAGTCAAAAGAAGAAAAAAATATGCAAAAGTGGGGTTTAGTAGCCTGTTAATAAGGGCCGGCGGCAAAACATCTAAACACGCTGTGATTGGCTGAAACTAAATTCACTGCTCAACTGGCCAGGTCCATTCATCGGAATATTCATTTCTAGACTGCTGTTTCAAAAAGAAGAATGGATTGTAACATTGAATATTATCATTCTCTTTTTTCAGACTTGCAACTATTCTAGTGAAGACACTAAACGTCCAAAGTTTTGATGTCAAAGCCCTGAGAGCATTTAGGGTTCTCAGGCCTTTACGCCTTGTATCTGGTGTACCTAGTAAGTAGTGTGTGTAACAACACCCAACTGGTGGGCTTACTGTGCTTTTTTATTGTCCATATTGGAGCTCTTTATTGATCATTAGCGCAGCACGCTGATTCTAAAAATAGCTTAAAGATTTGGACAAACATTGCATTCTGTTTAACCGCTACGAGGATTGTACCAACCGATTTTATTATTTTTACTTAAAGTTACAATAAAAACCCATGTAAACTAAGATCAACTGCGATTGGCTGTGAAAATTATCTGCTGAAAGTAAACTCGTAAGTTTGTTTGTCCGAATTTCGCCTTTGTCTTCGTTTTTATGACGTCACGGCTGCGCTGCGCTATTAATGGCTCCTTTGACCCCTTTTAAAGGATTCAATGTAAGAGTACATAGTGGAATTAATGTGTGATTGACCTTGTCAGGTTTATCAGGGGCCGTTAATATTTACTCGTTATCAAACGAATCCTACCACTCCCCCTTCCCCTCTCCAGGGCTTAGAATAATGGCCGGATATCAGACAATTTTGATCCAGATTTGGAACTTGTCCATTAAATTCTTTGCCTTGCCTGTAATTTTGACCAGTAACTTTGAGTCAGAAATGAGTTATGACAGAACTCAAACTAGTTTGATCACTCATTATGAACTATATAAAGCCCTGCCAGTGGTGGATCCAGCTATGGAGTGTGCACCCCCCCCCCCCACCCCCCTGAGAGAAGCTGACATTTTAAGAATTGTTGCCTATTAATCTTAATCGATCTTTTGCTCTACACTTATATTTTTTTTATTTTTTTTATTTTTTATTTGCAAATGCTATACAAAATACACTGCATCTTACTGTGAATCACTTTGATTTGATATCACATATTAAAATGCTGCTTGAGTGGAAATAACTATAAAAACTAGAATTTTCTTGTTTACTGACGTCATCACTCATTATGAGGTTAAGAACCAAATAAGTGCACCCCCCCCCCCCAAAATCCTGGATCCGCCCCTGCCTGCCCACCTCTCCCCCTTAATTTCCCTCCAATAAAAAATAAACAGTTCCTAATGGGCTGGAGATATTAATTTGTACTAACATCGTCTGCTACTTAGGAAGAGCCTGTAAAATCAAATGACAGCCAGCCAGATATAGTTCTAGTACCATAAGGAAGCAGGTGCATGGAACTAATGTTTATATCATCATTTGTCTTCTTTCCCCCAGGTTTACAAATTGTGCTTAACTCTATAATCAAAGCTCTTATACCACTTTTTCACATTGCCTTGTTGGTAGTGTTTGTAGTTATTATCTATGCTATTATTGGTGTTGAGCTATTTATGGGCAAGCTTCATAAAACCTGTTATGATAATGTCACAGGTAAGATTGATTGATACTTAGTTTATTGCTTAAATGACTTGTTAGAACTTCCTCTTCCCACGTGGACAGCCTCTTAGTACAAATATTTGTTCTTACATATATTTTTATGGTTTTTTTTTTTGATCATACATATATTTTTATAGTTGTTTTATTTTTATTATCATTATTATTATTATTATTATTTTCTACTAGTCTTGTTATATTTTTATAGTTGTTATATTTTTATTATTATTATTATTATTATTATTATTATTTTCTACTAGTCTTG